TACGTTTGCCCGTAACAATAGAGAATACCACTCAAATAACGGTACCAGATCCCTCGCTGAAAGCTAGAACCGACCTTCCCAGGCTAATACCAGAACAAGACCAGAGCTCGATTAGAGAGCTTTATTCGCGTCAGCCACGTGCAGAGAAGAAGCGAAATCGAAAGTAATTTGAAAACTAATTCAAGTCAAGTTTGACCTTGACTTGATAAAAGCGTAACAAAACAAATGTTAACAAATTAATGTAAATAAAATCAGAAACCAATCTTGGGGAATCGTGGATCCCCAACACCTTCCTTCAGAAGAAAACTTTATGTCCTATGTTCATTGAGAAAGCTATTCGATTCCAAATTTGCTGAATCCATACAAGCCGTGGTTATAAGGTTAAACTCAAGCTGAATTTGCAAGAAATATTGAATGTCAGATATGAATTAAATTAGGGGTATAAACGAAGCGAAGGAAGTTGATATACACCACATGGACACACGTGACAGTGACCAGTCAATGTTGAAGATCCATGATTGGTCATTTGTCAATGTAGATACTGTCATACTTTTGTCGGTAACCAAATCCACGAGCTCAGGGGAGCAATGCTCAAATCCTTTGTCAAACGTAAGTCCTACTTATTCATCACAGGACAAAAATCAGACCTCTCAGAGAGGACTTTTACTGTCTCAGCCAAGAGTCTAGTGACGTGGCAAAAAGCACCGCTTATCTAAGTGTTGAGGGACCAAGACAGACTAACAATGAAGGAGCAGTCAGTGGGTGTCGTGAATAAGATGAACAACTAAAGTGGCTTGATTAGGGGGAGTTGTGCAAACAATGACGAAAACCAAGTTAGCGGTTTGAAGTCTCGTGATATCATGGCTTCCTCAACTGATATAGAATTTAAACAAACAAGCTAACATCTTGAGTCGGTGGAGAGATGCAAAGGGATCAGTGTGCCTGTCAGAACGCAGGTTTTAAAATTGCTCCTAATGAGAAAGAGCAACTACTCAATACCTTTTTAAAGGGAAATAGTTGATAATCTGAATTCTTTGATCAAGTGGAGTCGTTTCGGCTTGAGGGGGTCAAAGTGAAGTGGGATGTCAAGGAGAAAGCGTTGTCATTAGGAAATCATTAATGCCTCGAGACTGAAAAACCGGAACTTTAAACAACCTTGTAAGGCTTGGTACAAAGGAGCTACAAATACGATCTCATTTCATTGAAGACTGAAAGTCAATGATGCATGGTATCAGGTATTGACCCTAAAGACTTATCTGGGACAGCAAGAAGCAAATGGCGTCTGAATTTAGAGGTTTGGGACTTCAAAACTCGTCACTGCCCCATGGTTTCCCATGGGGCACCAATATTCCTGTTTGACAAATCCTTCACGCAGTTGGAAAAATACCGCATTGTACATTGCCTAAATACCTGATCTAATTCGAATACATTTAAATATTGCTATTTAAGTAAATTAGAAGACAAGTTTGGACCTATACTCGAAGCAGCGCATCTACTTTAGTATTGATTCTCCTAAAATTCACCGAAAACCTCACAACGTTGTACGATGGTAAAAAGACAAAGCGAATAGGCAGATGCAACTGGTTATTCACCTGTTTGGCGCTAAATTGTCTTAATGTTAGTAAGACGAGGTTTTTAGTGCCAAAAGCAATAATCACATGTTTGTGAGCAGGTTGAGGATCAATCATTAACACTGGGAGACTCAAGTACCCACGGGATGAAATGAATATCCTGTAGCGTTGGTCAAAGGATGTCGAGACAGGCAGTTGCACGAACTCATGAAAGAAGGTCTTATTCACTTGAATATACGTGTGTGCATGCCTTAAAACAAGTAGCTTAATTATTGTAAGAGCTAATAAAGGACTAGAAGACCTCGCACGCACTAAAACATCGCAGCACACTCAGTTTAAACGCTGCCCAAACAATAAATAAATTGAGGAGATGACAATAGCATCACAAGATTACACTTCCATCAAAGGCTGCAAGCAATAAATTGGCAAGCTGCATTCTTTTAAATCAATTAAGCTGGTAGACATGGACAGATATGAGTCTGATTAATGTATAAGTCGGTTTCTTTCAAAACCTTACTGCTATTTTTAATTACATCCATTCCAAGGCCAATTTCTAGCAATTTCCTCAAAAAAATGTACAAAAAATAGGGTTATTTATCTATTTTAATGGATTAAATTGAAAACCTTTATTTGTCATTTTCCCTCCTCACTCTCCTTACTCTTAATTCTACTCATTTGTTCCTCAGTCTAAAGTCGTCATCAATTTCCCTTTTACTCAAAAAACCATTCGTTTTTTTGAAGTTTCGTGTGGGTGTCGAGCAATGAGTGATGGGTGATTAGACAGGTGTCTCCTTCAAGACTTCTCATGTAGCCGTGCTCCTAGTACCACAAGAAACCATTTATCCATTTCAGTGATTTGAAAGGATTTCAAATTGCAGCTAGGGCCGGGGTAGAGGCCTAGTAGACTGGTCCTCGGTTGTCTGCTCCAAACTTCTCGACATAAAGCGTCGAATTGAGGGAAGGCATCATTTTATTGCCACAATTTAAATGGTGCGTTTAGGCGGCAGTTGATAAATTCCCAGGTAAACCTAGCTCCTGAAGTGTATGGAACTTAACTGAAGTACAGTGTTACTTGAGATACTGAAACATATGAGGTGACATTTAGCAGGAGGCGTTCTTACGACAATTGTTGAGCAAGAGCCAATTGGAGGAGAGTTGAGTGTTTGTTGGCATACAACAACGATAGGACTATTATCTTCTAAGACTGCAAACCAAAGTAACATTCCTTATGGGGAATTGCGTTCGGCGTACAAAGAAATGAAAGTTAAATTAGTAGCAAGTACAACTAAGAGATACTGTGTCATGAAAGCAAGCTGCTTTAAGCCTTGACCTGATCAGCACACCCAGCTTCCGGCGAAGGGCTACTTGTCGATCAGGTATTCACTTTTGAAATCGGCAACAAGCAACTCGGTTGTAGGACACAAAGGGTCGCAATGGGCACGACAAAGATATATTTCAAAGGTTACCGGGGGGTGGCGGACGACAGAGGTCGACCCCAGTGATTGGCTGAGTTTTTTGAAAACCCTACGACCAGAGTTCATCCATTTATAGGTGTTATGAGAGGCAAGAATCTAAGACCTAAGTATTCACCCGTCTTAACTACCCACGGAACCAAGCTTTTCTCAAGGTCACCTGTTAATACGATGCCGAATAAAGCCAGTGAAGTCGGTGTTTGCCTAGAATTTTTTGGATTTGTCAACTTCCACTCACTTAAGTCGCGTTTGGTGAGAAGAACTAGAATCTACTGGGCCGTCTCTGAGCCAGCCTGTTTAGTTTAGAATTTAATGGCTTTGTTTCCATTTGCATGGTTTCACAGCTGCTGCAATTACATCAAGGTCTTGAAATGCGTGTGGTGCCCATATCTCAAGAAGGAGGCCACAGCTTGGCAATTTTAGTCACCTCAGCCCCACTTCAGTGGCAAGAACGTGCACCCAAAAAATATCACCCAAAGAGGTTAAAAGCGGGCTTCCTCAAAGTCTGAATCAAACCAAAGCAAGAATAGTGAACAAAACGGAACCTTGACAGTTTAGTAAATAACTGGTAGAAAAAGCAACAGAAGACGAGACATAAAAGAGCAGTATTTCAGCCTGGGTGGTTTCGACCGAAATGCCTGACAAAACAGCGCCAAGATCGAGAGACTAGAGAAAGTTGTAAAGCACGCGCATCGCACAGAGACAGACCTGGCATGCTCCTTAGTCAGCTCGTGGTTTAAAGCTGAAATGTTGCCTTGTAAGTGGGGCATGTGTTTTGCAGCATTACGCTCACCTATAGCGACACCGTTATGAAGTGACTTCACATTATCACGCTGTCAGTGCAGTAGCCAATCAAAACGTCTAGTCAAAAGGAGCCTCGTTGTCTTTCATGGCATGTCATTTAGTTCACAGTTCCAAGAAACATGATATTTTGTGCGTGGTTTCAGGTGTGTAAGTGAAGATGTGGGGTGCCGATCCCAACGATATATTTTGCTAATAAAATAATGAAAAAATACAAGTGGGTTTCAAAATCCTAACTTTCAAAATGGGTTTTTGGAATGACAATAAGCCCAAACACACATTAAGCGTGACAATCAAGGATTCTCATTTTTTCGGATGGTCACTTACGAAACCTCATTCCAGAATAGCATTCAGAGAAGGCTTATCTTCTTTCAAATATGACAATTTAGTTCAGGGGTTGGATACACAGAACGAAGCTTGTCTTCTCGCGCTTAAGATAAACCGCTTTGGCAGTGGTCAAGTGCTTGCTTAGATCTTTTGTGAATCGTGTTGATTCATGCCCATCAACGCGGTCGTCGCATACGCCGACACACCGCTCTTCAGTCATGCGGAGCCGCCTGCTCACACATCCCTCTGCGTGTACCTCTCCCGCTACCTGCTTCACACAGCTGGCCATTCATCTACTTGTACTAATCTTGTTCACTCAAACTGTATCCTTCATTAACCGCCATTAGTCATTCAGGCGCTATCTACTAAACGGCTGGGTCGCTGCCATCTCAGGTCTGTTTAGACTTCGTGGCTGTCAATGTAGTGAAATTGGGCCAGGTGAGGTTTGAGACGGTAAATGGGGGTTTTCAGCAATCCCACCTCAAGCCCCTGCGCAAGCGTGGCGATTAATGACCCCGGCATCCTCCATTAACACCTACTTCTGCGTTCAAGGTCAAGTTGGCAAGAGTTGGGGGTAAGGGGTAGGCCGAGATGAAGTGCCATAGAACTAACTTCCCTTTAGAGGCAAATAAAAGGGATTTGTAATATTTAGTGGCAGTTTTTGCTTCCCACTTTGGCAATATATTTCTGCGGAAATCATTATAAAGATAAAACTGAAATTCAGTCAAGTATTAGGCTAATGGTCATTTTCAGGCTTGTATTGAGGTACTGAGAGTATATCTTCCTTCAAAAGGAACGACAAAGTAGGGATTCAAAAATATGTGAAGAGCTAGTTGTGATGCAATTGCTCAAGGTCATGCATTACTCGGAGTGCAAGATCATCCTCCCAGGGTTTGGCAATCACCTGTACGGCCATTGGCAAGCCCTCGGCAGTCCTTTGCTGTTTAAGAAGCTGCTTATACAAGGACCTGGAAGGAGCTTTGACCTCAGAAGCCAATTTCACATCATCCTGCGTGGTCTTACCGAACGGGACCACGCCAGCTGGACAGTTGACTACATTGAAGATAGTAGAATACCCAGTCTGAAGGAAGGCAAGACCCGCTGGCGACCTCTTCAACAGGGCTGGAGCTGCGGCAGCTGGTCCAACAAGGAGGTCAATCTCTTCATCATCCCACAGCTCAAAGAACTTGAGCCGGTAGGCTTCAACATGTGCTCGAATGGCTTCCGCGGAAAACGGTTTCTTCAAAACATCCAGGAGTTGTCGCAGACTCTTGCATTTGGCCCCCTGTTGGAACTGAATTGCGAGATCTAGCATGACCCTTAGACAATATGGGGACTTGGGTAACCAGCATTTAAAAATTTCGTTCCATTTCAGGCTGTTACCCCAGTGTTGACCAACATGGATATTCCAGTAGGAATCGTTGGAAATGAGTGAATGAAGGGCAAGAAGCAAGGCCTCGTTGGGCTTTGGAAGATCAACCTCAACAACTGTGTGCCCTTGAGCTTTGAGTGCTGCTATAACTTCAGTCATAACTCGTTCAACTCCTGGAACAACTGGAAGGATATCAGGACAGTTTCTGTACACCCCAATTGTGAGGGACTCTTTAGATGCGTTGGGTTTGAAGGGTACTTGTGGAATAAAAGGATCCTGTTTGACTGAGGTAAGCGCTGTCATGGTGTCTACAATGTCTGAAACATGAGAACCAATGACACCAACAGTCGGAGGCAGAAATTCAGGAAAATTCACAAGAGCAACGATCCCGTCGGTGCTCAAACGCTGAGCTGTTGGTTTAAATCCTACCAGTCCGACATTTGCAGCAGACAATCGAACCTCACCAACAGCATCCAGACCGAATCCAAGAAGGGCGCCCTTTTGCAGCACAACGACGCCAGTGGAGGAGTGTCCGACGACACGATCAAGATGTGTTGGATGCTGTGTTGTCCCGTAGAGCCTACTAGAGGCATCTGGCTGGCCTGGAAGTGGCGACGTATTGGTAAGTGCTACTGGAATCGTTCCAACACTTCGAAGAGCTTCTACTAAAGCACAATCGCTTCCTTGACTATGTCCTGCCCTAAACACAGCAGAAGCATTACAATCCTCGCCTTTTACGCTGAACCAATTGGACAAACAGACCGGAATCCCATGCAAGGGACTCAGCGGTGTTCCGTTTCGTTTGAGTGACTGATCAGCCATGATGGCAGCTACATCTGCATCAAAGATTACCTCTGCAACAGAATTTGAGGTTGACTGCATTAGGCGGAGTATGTGGACTTGCATCGCCTCCACAGTATCAATGGAAGTGAGGTCCTTTTTAATGACTAAATCCTGACGAAGTTGGGGCAGTGTAAGACCAGTCACTTTGTCGACGTTCTCAAGAGGAGTCTTGAGACCACATAGTTTGGCAGACATGTTATTCTCCACCTTTCGCCGCTGGGACTTCTTTTTAGAAATTCGTTTTGGACCGTCTCGCAGACCGAGTAGCTTGAAACCAATGCGGCCGCATATCCAAACAGGACAGATTACGTACCCAAGGTAAAACTGCCCGATGTGGCTTTGGAAGGACATAATGGGCTTGAAGATGTATGATGAGACATAAGCTGAGAAGCCCAAAGTGACGAAGATGTAAAGGCAACTGACTGCATCCAGGAGTTTGCAAGTTACCTTAATTAGTGATTTTAGCCCAGCCATCTAAAGTGAAAAAGTGGCAGTCATGTTAAGCTGATTTTAAGTCAAATTCTGCACCGTTGCATAAATAACGAGTCTGTCCAAACAAACTCACTTTGACATTTGTGTCTTTTGCGGGGAATTATGTAATGCTACCCTTATACTATCCTCATTTCTCTTAACGCATATTTTAGCAACGCTGTCATAGCTTGAATGTTTTATCACAAGCACTGAGTGGCTTCGTAAACAGCCACTAGTGTCCATTCAACAACCGAATTTACTGAATTGGATTTGAGAGAAAACATTCCCGACGCACGTTTTAGTGGCAAATGCAACTGGTATCAATAATCAAACTTTTTAACACGAATATTTACAATTACGAGCTATCACAAAAAATAAAAGGCATTATTTTGCAGAATACTCTCCTTCGTATTTGCATTTCATAATTTTTGGGATCCCGTAAGTCTGAAACTTTACTTTCAAAAGAGCAGGACATGATCGAAAATAAACAAATTCATAAGCAAAATACTGGATATTTCATCGTTGTTTGTGTTCCCTTGAGAAACATAAACCCTATTCTAGTAGTGCATGAAGCAGGAAAGCGAAAAGAGGCAGTAGGTTGATAGGAATTGCTTAATAAAAACAAGTATTTGGCAAATTCAAAACCAATATCCTATCTAATATAAAAATTAAATTGATTTTGCTAAATTAAAGCACTTTCTAGCAAGTCAAACGCTTTAATTTTTCACATAATATAAAAAAATAAAAATACAGTGAAGAAGCACTTGATTGAATTTTATGGGCTTGCAGATGCTAATGACTATTTAGATCCACAAGATATTTAAAATAAATAAAGTTTGCACACTCCACCACTATTGATTTTGACACGGTTAAAGATGGACTTTGGCTTAAACGTAAAAAAAGTCCTATTTATTCAAATTCACGCAGCACCAAAATAAACAACTATCTTGACACTAAATTCGGGACATTTCACTAAAGTTGATAAATGTATCTGCATCCATATCCTTCTAAGTGCGCTATGTCTTTTTATAAGGGTGCTTAAAAAAGCTTGGAAGTACATACATGAAAGGACATAAGTAGCCTGAAAAGTACTTTTTTTGCTAAAATGTGACTAAGGTATACATATACGGAGCGGTAATCACGGGACAAATACGATGGATTTCACAAGGCAAGAATGCATGCTCAGAAGCGATAATAATCCACTTTGTGTTTGTACCAATTAACGAGGAAAATTTTTATTAACATCGCAAACCAGCGGAACATCAAAAATTAAGCAACTGCTAGAGCATTAGTGTTTAAACAGAATTTAATTTATGATCTTACTGAATACTGATCTAACAAAGATGAAAGTATGCACTATTGCGGATTTTGCGGTAGTCATCATCTTCATTAACTCGAAAAATCATAATGCCTAACATCCATCCACAGAGGATTTACCAGCGCATAATCAGACCTAACCGTTCAATTGAATAATAAAATCAATTTAGTTACCTGTAAAGTTACATTTACTTAACCGATACGGAACAATTATAGCACTTGTTAATGTTTGCACATGCATAATTATGCAATGAGTAGAGGCAAAAAGGGTAATTTAATAAGTATGTAAATCAACTTTGCCAATATGTGGCATGCAAAAATAGATTTACATAAGATAGAGAAAAGTGACGTACATTTCATATTAACTATGTAAGCTGACCATTAAAAACATTTCAGTCACGTTTGTTTACGAAACAAAACATCAACGACAGTATGTCATTAATAGCATTACTAAAAATTCCGGTAAATGATGACATGTCGCTGTCTGTAAGCAACTAACTAATTCATTTAAAACGTTATGCGAATAAAAATACATAAAAAAACATACGTTAGTAAGCACCATGTGTGACTAGTATTAGCAGCTTCATTGATACGCATATAGTAAATCATCATTTATCAAAATACTGCAGACGTTATCATTATAATTAAAAAAACTAACGTAGAATCATTACATTGATCAATAAAATACTTTCGCAATGAAAGGTTGTGCTGCACGTACAGAGTATTATTGCAAAAAAACGGTAAGTGAAATATATTGAAAAGGAAAATTTTCATTATAAAAATCATTTACATATAAAAAATTTAACAAAATCAGGTGTCCTTTTGTCACAGGTATTTAACTATACAGAAGCCTAAGTACATTTAAAAAATACACTGTTGAAACTACAAGCATAAAAAGCAGAATGTAAAGTTACTTTGCCCGTCTTAAAATGCTTAAAGTACCGCGCTTAAAAACAGCTGAAAGACTGGGGGGTTAAAACAAAGAGTCAAGGTTAAAAAATCATTTTGCACAGGAGAGCAAGAGTTATTTGATTTCTAACAAAACCATAAATTTTAGCTTTAAACTTTTTATGTTGCATGTGTACTAGTGCAACTCAACACGGCAGCAGCTAGAATATATCGAGACGTTTTAATTGCATCGGATTTTAGGACTTACATGCTGGCAACATTTACGACAACAGAAATGACTATGACGTGAAAATGTGATTGTAGGTTACAAAACGCACTTATGTTATAGTAGTAAATGCAAATAAACCATGCTTCTTATAGATGTTTTGAATGATGAGTAAGTTTTAGAAGAAGTGGAAACATAGTTTCTGAATCATTTTTGGCGTACATTTTTAAATTAGTCTGTTATAACAAATGCACAAAAATAAACCATGGTTTAACAGATATTTTAACTACAAATATTTTTTTTACTTTCGTAACTCGTTTTTCAAAAAAATGCCAAACCTCCGTAAATTTGTCCGGAAGCTGTCAGCCGCATTCTTTAAACTCATTTTTCTATGTAAATGGAGCTTTTAGTTATAATGAACAGGAACCGAAGCCAATAGCAGATCTAGGTCATCATCATTTGCATATACTTTATTTGCGGGTTTCACAAACTTCCCAATCGCTTCCCGATACAGTTTAATTTGCCACGTAGTGTAAACAGCTGCTGCAATCCCATAATTCTTCGAAGCAGTCCTCTAATTCCCAGCATCATTTCACACGGAAAAAGCAATTTTTGTGGAGATTCGGTCTAAAGCAATATGTCGAAAGAAGCGGCAAATAACCATAACCCCATGTGACTGTGTAAAACTAGTCGTTAATTTTTTATTATATAAAAATAGAATTTGGCATGAAACTGTCACCATACAATTGGAGCCTGCACAGGGCGGACTTGTAGGATCGTTTTATAGGTACATTTGAACATGACCTATGATGAATATAATCTAATCTACTACAAAAAACCAAACGTTATTATTTTTGCCGCACCCATTTATGAACCGATGTGCTGGTTTACTAATTAAAAGACAAAACGCGGTTAATTGCAGAAACAATGGCACATTTAAGGGACCTAGTTTATTTTGCTGTGTCTTTATGTAAAATGCTACATGCCCCAAAATAAAATTTCATTTTAAAGTAAAATAAACGATTAATCTCATTTTTCACTGCACAAATTTCTGAAGTTATCGTGATTTAAAAAGAGCACATAATGTCATTTTAGCAGCTTTTAGGTGTTACTTCCAAAGGCTACAAATGTTTGAACGATTGCTAGCCATTTCAATTAAAATGAGCTGCTTTTTTCACTAATCTCAGGTCCATAATTTAGGTCACCGTAGGTAACATCATCAATACAACTGGTCTGTGGATTTCTCAGTTGTTTGTTTTTAGAAAAGCTAGAGACGTTATGGTTTCTAAAAATGAAACAGTCAATTCCTATCAATGTGTCAGCCCAATACGTTGGCCCTATCTCATATTTTTAATTTCACTAGCAAACTTTTACTTGTATAATATACGAGTCAATCAAATTCATCAGTAGTTTGATAATTTGAAATTTTGACAATCAGGAATTCCTTCAACGGAATATCCATGTACAGACAAAGATCTTTAAAAGCCTAGAACTAGAAAACTATTGCGCATAATTATAAATAAGTTTGACGCATTGTACTTATTTCAAAATTCGTTCGTCAAATAGCAAGGACAAAATGGTGCCAAGAGGGGAAGTTTGATGATTTGCTTGCTACAATTAACCCAAAACGGACTACCTACTAAGTGAGTTAGTCAATATTAAACAAACCATTGTTATTTTCAAAAAAAGACAAAACATAAAGTACCAAAATGCTAAAATAGCCCACCCTATGTAAATTCTACGCACCCGCAACCAATTTACCAAATATTTAAGAAAACTTCGTTAATTTCAAAATGTAGGAACCAACTACTTATTATCATTCAACGAAATTAGTGTCTCTATGAAAACCTGCAATAATTATTTGCCAAGCGATTATCATGGTTACGAGCGCTCGTGAGAACTATCCGTGTCATCTACGGATAAAGACAAGACTACTCAGTTCTAGGCATTAGTAGAAAACTTCATTTGGTATTCACATGAAATGGCTGAGCTAAATAAACGCCATAGCAGAGTTATCTCAAGTAACGGCGAATACGTTTACTTGCTAACAGTTTATGAAGGCATAGGAAGTGGCCTTAATTCAGACTTTACAATAATTAATGGCCAAATACCAAGAGAAATGGACTAGGATGTTCTTTTAAGTTTAATCAAAGGATTTCGACAGTGTAAAGTCCTTTATACCGGACACTGAAAGATGAGGACTTCAAAGATAATTACCCCTGTTACGAGGTTTTACCACAAAGTGAAATATTTAACGATGTCTCGACGTTTTGACTAACATTTCCAACAATAAAATTTGATGACCAAAATCAGTCCAAGGCCATTTACAAATTCTAGCTTTATCATTTGCCCGGATAGCAGAGAGTTCTAATAAAGTTAGGCGCGGTGTGGGAGCAGGCTGGTAAATTACTTGTTTGAAATTAAAATGGATACTTGGAAATTCGGAATTCAGAAAAGGCAAGATCAACAAATGCAGATATTTTGCAACGGCTAAAACATCCAGAACTTGCAATTTCGTAGACCTAGCATCAAAGAAAAAGGAAACAACCTAAGAAGCATCCAAAGTGTCGACTTAAAGGACGCAGGACTACCTAGACAAGTTATTAGTTTTCGAGGGTAGGTCTACACGGCATTACAGTCGAAAATAAACCAATGTCAATTTAAACCGCAGGTAGTCTGCATGTGTGCTATAAAGCGGTCCAGCGAGCTTAACGCAGCATACAAACGTTGACATTAACAGCATGTATAAAATGCGCCAATTGTCATGTTTGTGTGCTTAAACGTGTAGGTCATCGACCAACACACGTACGACTGCTACAGTACATTTTAAAAATTAGCCAGTTCTGATGAAAATATCAAATCCTAATTATCACCCACCACATTAACATGCACACATGATTGATGTGAAAATTATATGATAAAGGTCATGTTTGGTACAAAGATAATTTGTATTCGTGAGACATCTGTACATGGATTTGGTGACATGGAATGGTCGTCAGTCAGGCGTGGTAAGCAGAATTTAGGCATCAAAGCAACACTGACACGAAGAGCCAGGCTTCACTTCTTTGCATTCAAGTCTTGAGTGTGTGGTTAGTCTGTGCAGCAAAATACAGATGCAGGATATTTCTTGCAACGAAAATCGGGATGAACAGCCAGAGGCACTGATCTCAAATCGCTTGAGGCCACGAATCTTGAATACCTGCAGGTACTTTGTCAGTTGAACTTTGACCGGCGTCTTGCAAGTCTGCCTGAGGTGGCTTTGCCGCAGACAGGTTTAGCATCTAGGACAGAAAAGCAAACGCGAGTTTACAACTGCGAAGACCTAATTGAATAAATGCATTTTGGTAACTGCCATGAACATAAAAAGCTTGATAGTTTAATCAAAGCAAAATTAACAGAACTTTAAATCGAATGGGCTCACCCTATTATGTTAATTGCTTAGGCATGAAGATTAAGGCTGGACAAAAAGGCGAAATACCACTGCTGGACCCGCAAAATAGCATTGGGATATTTTAAAACGATGGTTCAAATATGCAGAGCCTGTTTTCAAATGTTAATTTTGGTTCATCGGGTTGAGTAGCTCAGAAAACAAAAAGTATAAAATGCTGCGATCCTTTAAATTCACATTTAATTGGCTTAAATTTTGGCAACTAAAGTTGAACTTATTGCATTCGACCTGCTTTGATCCAGGTTCATATCATACTACCTGTTGCCGAGTCGATAAGTCTACAAAAATCGAAAGGACTTATAATTGGTATTTTGGACGCGAATGTTTTAAATGTCTCAGATGGTGTTCTTTCATTTGAATGAAAAAAAAAACAATATTGGCGCATTCTTGAATGAAACTTCTGACCTTTGACAGTGAAGTGCCTGACACTTGTTCGTAACACCAAGACAAAATGTCAAGATGCTTTTAGAGAAAACGGCCCTCTTCAAAATACGGACTAAGTGTACAAATTTGAGCTGCAGGCGTCGGGTGTATCTCACGATTGACACGCTTTTCAGTGCACTGGGGAAGACACATTAAACCACTCCACACTTGTGTGAAAATTTGATAAATTTTGTCACCCAAAACAAACTCAGCGTAAAACACTGGTTTTGGGCGGAATCGGTGTAAGTAAATCTGTAAAACATTCCACAGCGCAAAATTCAGACTGCAATTGATTGTCATTTTAAGAGCTAAGTTAGCACTGGTATATTAGTATTTGGACTTTTCATTTGTGCATGCATTTTTTGTACTGTGACCGCTACACAGCTCCATTTTACCGTTGGCTTTTAGCTGGCCAGTTTATTGTCGTACGCCAACAACAGCAGCGGCTTGATGACAGTTCAAAGAACTCCACACCCGACGGCCGAACGTGAGCCCGGGTTGCAAAAACTGCCATTACAAACGAAATAGGTGGAACAAATAAAAATCAGTAAAATAAGGACACGTGAGCACCATTATTTACCAGGAAACCGTTTAGATAAGTGTTGGGGATCCAACATTCCTCACGACGGCTCATCTCGGGTTAGGATTTCGTCATTGTTTGCACAATGCCCCTAACCACTCCACGCCAGTGGGTGAGTCACCCGCGGCACCCTACTGACAACCCAATCCGCTTCATCCATCACGTCAAGGTCATCCGTGACTTATATAAGTGGATACAGTCTGTAAGATCACTCAGCCTTTGGCTGAGGCACCAAAAACTGTTTACATAGAGCCCTGCCATGTCTTGCATTTGCGTGGGAAGGTGGAGTGGCTGGCGCTTGATAAGGGATCTGGGGTATCGGTTATCTGAGGGAGTGTGTGATCTGGGTTACGGGCAAAACGTAACAATAATATGACCGGAAGAAGCACGAATCCGTGCGGTTCGTTTGCTTCTGTGAGAATCCATCCAACAATGGCCTACTTTCTCCCCTGATACACTGACATCAACCATCAGCCTGAATGTCCATCACCAGTGACTCCATCCAAAAAATCGACGAAAAATGCAAATTACTATTTTGGAGTGGCTGTTCAAGTAGCTCATCCTTTTCCTTTTCCACATGTCAGCCATTTGTTATGAGAACAAGCTATCTGCTTCCATTTACCTGCATTTTTTTTCAAAAGTTATATCAGATAGTGTGACCTTTAGAAATATTGGAACAAAATTAAATGCAAGTCTAAGCTCTACACACGTGTAACTGAGGTCATGGTGGGTAGAAAAAAAGATAATTGTAAAAAAATTGGAATGAAAATAAGTTATGCACTTGGAAAGAGCAGAAAGAGCAAGAAAGAGGAGCGTCGACTTTCAACCGGGCACCCAAGTTGATGCGACGTAGTCCATTTGGAAAGCTTGCCAGCGCTTAGCAGCTTAAGCACATAGGGATCTTGCATCAGTAAAAAATAATCGCCTGGAAAGCATAATTTCCAAAATCCAATGAAGGCAAAACAGCTTGATAGTCCTCCGCACATTTGCCTGGGAATAAACTTCAGGCCCCATGAACATTTTTTCATTGGTGAGCCTCCAACCAATTAATTAATAGGAATTGTGATTAATGGGCAGTGGAAGAATCATTTAGCTAAGCATTAGTTGCAAATCTGATTCCGAAACAACCATTAAGCGGAATGTTAAGCAAACAGGGTGGTTGCTGAAAACATCTGTTGAAGCAAAATGACACTAACCATATGGCCCACAGCAGAATTCAAGTATTAGCTAACTTCACAGAAACTCATTAGCAGATCGGTGTTGTGCAGGCATGGCTTTTCGGTGATCTCCTAGATGCAACAATTAGCAGCCTAAAAAGGGATGGATGTTTAATTAAATACTAACGGCAGCCTGAACACTTGGCAGTGATAGTAGTGAGGTTTTTTTTATTGAGAGTCCGTAAGCATTCCCATTCAGTCTACGACTTCTTAAGGTGTATTATTCCTCAGTGCCTTTGAAACGCTTTCAGATTATGCTTAGTCTAGGCTGGTGTACAAGTCAAACATGACAACTTGGGGGATGAACGGACATAAGCATAAGCGAGGTGTATCTCAAAGTACTATTATGAGCAAAAGCTTGTTGTGAATCGTGTTTATTCGCACCCCTTTTTCCAGTCGCTCCACCTCCCCTTTTCGAAGCATGTCGCCAGCCCCGCGGATCTTCAACTCCTTCCTCATTCACATGGATATTTATCTTGAATTATCCTCACACCTAGGTCTCGATGTTAGCCCATGTATTACTCACACATCCGAGGTATAGATACACACGCTCAAACCCCACACACGACACAACGACACCAACGTGGTTGAGCTCTGAGGTAAACGGTGGTGTCCACGTCCTCTCCGATCTTTTTCTTCATCGCGGGTATCCGCGAGGCGTAATCGGGACAGGGTTATTTCCGTGGCCCCGGTGTGGTTCAGGACCACATGCTGGGCCCACAACAAGCTTATTAGGGACAGAAAAACAATTATTTTAACTCTCTTTTGCAAAGTCGAACAGGATTAGTGTGCAAAACTTAACCTTTTACAGGTCGCACTTTCTATGTTTCCTCAACATTGAAAGTCAAGTTATTGTGAATAGGTTTAATGAGGGTGTTTGGCATTTTGTAGGACCATGTGAAGCCAAGAACTTCACTAAACAAGACAGGTCAAATCAATCAAATGACCCTCGAGTTTAAAGCGCAGAGAAAAAATCAGTCTGATTTTTTGATAACTTTAAAGTGAAAATTTTCCCTCCAAAGATTGTACTGCTATTAGGCGCAAAGTAAAATTGTGGTGCTCTATGTCAATCACAAAAGACAACATAGATAAAATGCGATTGTTCTTTGCCATTGATCGAAAAACTTACTATGGCAAAACCAATGCCTCGAGGGTTAAGGATATTGTTATTAAAACCGTAAATGACGCAATGTGACTGAATCAGGAGTAGACTCTTGCGAATGTATAAACGAGATTTCCGCTGATCTTGGGAGGTTTTAATCCGAGCGAACAGCTACGAAAACGAATTAATACGCTGCCGCGCTACCAGAAAGTCAGTTCACACGTGACTTGCACAATCCCCATTGGTGGACCGAAGTAACTTTAAATCAATAACAGCGTTCACATGTGTTCCATGCAGTAATCACATGGAAAAATGATGGAAATAGACATAAATAAGCCCTTTGATCCTCTGCTTATCCAAAGTTTGGCAGTAGAGCTTCAGCTGCGCATTGGCACCTTGCCGAAAGTGGACGTATACAGTTTTCATTTGGAGGCCTGCGCCGGGGACATAATCCAATGCTTGCGAGTGGAGCCGCGTTCCCTCTCCGAGATCTCTCGCACTGTGAGAGCAGCCAGAACAATGAAGCTTTCTGTCCGTGGCATGGGAGAGGCTTCGGGAAGCGAAAAAGCCATCTACGTTGACCGCTACACTGTCTTAATTGATTGCTGCAAGCTCGCAGATAAGCCGAGAATGGAACTGGTGATGTGCCACCGTGAGGGCGACAACAAAGACACTCCAGGTCTACGGGTCCTTGCGGGGGTGACAATAACTGAGTTGATTAATTTTATGGTGCGAAAAAAGGTGGAGCTGTATCAATCACCTGACATGATACCAGGTATAGGAACGGTGGTTGGGAACATTGTGACAGCCAGCCCCGGGGTCTATGGGCCCTCAAGTGGAGCTTTGGGTGGGTGTTTGGCGGATGAGGTGATCTCCATGCGAGTCGTGAATTCCTGTGGAGACCTCGTCGAATACTCGGATCCCCACAAACTCGAGCAGTACTGCGCTAATATGGGGTTACTGGGAGTCGTATACAACGTCACCCTGCGATACAGAGAACTCACAACTTCAGTGGTGAGCAAATCATTTTCTTTTGTTACATTCAAAAGTTGGCGATGCACCACCACTGATTTCCAAACCACTTAACATTTAAAAGCTAAATCATACGCCAGTTATGCCCCATTCGCGTGTTTAAAACTGGTAGGTCAACGACCAACGCAAGGACTAGTGCCGTGATTCACTGCTTGGCAGTCTCTATGCTTTTTGAACGCACTGATATGGATGATGGGAAGTGCCTCATAATTACGACTAGCTGCACATGAATGATGTCCACACGGATCATCTTCGAGGGCTGAGATAAATTCGCCTACAATATTAGAGGTCGCCTTCATTTCAAAGATTATTTGATTCTGTAATGCATCCGAGAGGCGATCAGATATTTCAGTGGTGCTGAAAGGTCGTTAACTGGGAACCCGCTATTTTTCAATTTAAATGTTTTTGTTCAGTCAAATGACATGGTTAAGCTCAAGGCAACACAGTTATGCTGGCACGAAAAGCGGCACTTCTTCGCATTCAAGTCTTTTGTGTAGCAGAATGCAGTTTGAGGGCATCTCGTGTGGCCGTAAATTTCGATGGATGGCCAGAGGCACTGCTCCCAAATTGCTTGAGGTCACGAATTTTCATTACCGCAAGGTACTTTTCAGTTGCACTTTTAAAACCATCTAGCAGGCATGGCGTAGGTTGCTATATAGAAGAAAAACTTAACTACTACCAACAAAATAAAGGAACAAAAAGTGAACATGCGTTAACTGTTGCGGTGATTTAATTGATAAGATGAATTTTTGGAGTTGCCATGCAAAGGGAATGTTGCCAAGTTGCAAGAATTTCCAGAACCGCCAATAAATGAGGCCATTTTTTTGCTTATGCGAGAACAATGTAGGTGTATGGTGGGCTCATTTTAAGAAAGTGGGTGCTTGATGGACAGAGAGTAAAGTAATAATTCCAGGGGTTGCCAAATGTTTAACCTCCACAAAAGACTGATTGTTTCAAATGCAAGCGAAGACATGCGATGAATATTACTCAAAAATGCTTTTTAGCAATGTCGTTCTGGGTTTGTCATCAGTCAGTCGTAAAATATTGTGTACTGACAGTAACGTTGTGTCAAGGCCTACTTACAAAGCATTCAATGGCCTAACATTGTACAATCCTCTGACACCAAGCCTCTCAGTCGTTTTTGTACATCTAAAGGTCAAGCGCTGTTCAGCCGTTGACCGCACATTGGGTGGAAGTGTTGTGGGCCGGGCATACGGTCTCAAACACGTCGGGGACTTTGCGTTGAACTTACCCTGGTACGTGGAAACACGAAGAAGACAGGAGAGGGCAGAGATACCACCATTTAATAGTGACTCAAACAATTTGTTGTAGTGGCGTCCTGTGTGGCGTTTGCGCATGTGTATTTACAGCTTGTGCAGTAACCTAGGGGAGTTTGGTACGATACGTAGGATCTGCATCAGCGCTAATCCGGTGTGAGTTGGGGTTCCCCATGGCTGACCGCACGCTGTGAAAGCGGGGCTTTGTTTCGCGGGGTGGATCAGCCGGATTAACGAAGGTGCATCAACGTAAATTCGCAGCAGATGGAGGCCACGAATTGGACGAAGGAAAACGGATAATTCAAATAAATATAATCACACCTGGATTTTCATACACGAAGGTCTGTGAAAGGCATTCGACATTGCTGAAAGACGTTCAGTTCACGAGGTGCTAGCCTGAGGTTCTGTTGAATTACTGGCGATTTGGGGATACCAAATGTTTCCTTGATAAATTCTAAGTGATTATGGTCTTTTAACTGAATAACACTCTGCCATAATCCACCAATGGCAAGCCTCATGTTTAAGTGCCATCTTAGAGAGCAAAAAATATATTTAAACAAACAGGGAGTTATAGCAATAAATATGCTAGCCTATAATAAAGAAAAAGTAGTAATACTTCTGACTATGTTTCTCAAAATAAATAATATTCATATCTTGCCTTCATTGTGGTGTGTTTTTTTTGTATGGTCACTTTGCAAAACTCGTAAAACAGAACCTATGCTATTTCTCTTGTCCTTGTACTCACTCGGTTATATAACCTCACATACAGACCCATGATAATATTTATGCCATTATGTCACGAAAAAGTTAAAATGTTTCCTTGCAATGCTACCTGAAGTACACACCACAAACACTTAAAATATCGCTACAAAGCAATTAAATAAAGTTAATTTTGCTTTTAAATCACGAATTCGCTGGTGTCATCTCGACAGCCAGCAAGGGATCCGAAAATTATATTTTGTGCATAACGATGTTTATTCGCGTACCAATAAATCAAACTACGAATTGGAGTCACCTTTTATTACAACTTATTTTGCATAATTATTTCGCTAAGATTCGTAAAGTCTATAAACATCAAATCAGTAGCAGTGGTAAATCTACCTGTGTTGCACTAGTTTGTAAATGTTTGGAGCAATTTCTGCTGTGGCGAATGAGGATAGGTTAAAATATATATTCCCCATCTGATATAAAACTAAGGGACTAAAAAGCAGTCAATATTTGTAGTTTAGTGATTATGCACAGTAAAATTGTTCTTTACCAAAGAAAAAACATGGATGAAATGTGGATAACCTACTTTTAAATCAGATACAGTATTACTAAAGACACAACTGCATTAAATTTAAAACCACTGACACTCCCTAGCCCATAGAGCCTCCCTGTTGAAAGTTTGAATTTAAAATATACGGGACCTAAAACATCAAATTTAAACCCACACAACAAAACAAGTAAAATGCGAAGCTCCGTTCACAGAACGGGAAACCTGTCAACAGTTTTCCCGGGGGAAAACTGACTTTGTCACGTGAACATTTCTCTCACACAACCAAGGAAAAAACGTTTTCATAGTCATTAATCCCAAAAGCTTGAAGTTTCGCTTTTCGGCGTTAGGTCGAATTGGACATATTCGTCATGAGAGAACAGCCACATAGGTAAATTTTAGCCTACACAGAGAATATTATAAGTCTAGTGCAGCCAATGTTTGCTCTCAGTGAGTGGGCGAACTCTGATTTAAGTGTCCTTTCCCAGGCTAGATATAATTACTGTCCAAATAGGGGAGTACAATTATTGCATTGCTCTTTGGAGGGGCCTCAAATATCGCCCTTTAATGGTTTCAGTGGATTGCCTCCATTTAATTGTTCTAGATTACTCATAGCCACAAAATCCGTCAAAGGTAATGAAAACTGACTGATACAGGTTGGAGTGAATGTAAACGGTGCTGCAAAGCGTCCTGTTACACTTATTGATTGAGGTTTCATGTAAAAAGCAATGGTTATTAATTATTTTAATCATTAGGCTGTTTATCATTGCATTATTATCCTCAAATTTAGACGAAATAGAAGAATAGCAAGAAGTTTCCGCAATTTCAGCCAGCATGCTAGACCACCGCTTTACTAAATTTAAGAAAACGTGTTCCCAATTTGCCTCATTCGAGTCCTGGCCACACTTTTGGGGAGCACAATCGTTCTTCTGACGCCTCCCATGTTGGCACAGCGAGTTTGATGCAGCTTCGTTAGTGGTAACACGCAAACAAGCAATTTTTCAGGCTGCGTTAATCTTTTATTTGTGCAATTAGCGCAAAGCGCAAATTGCCGCGACGGCAACTGACTGCCCTCGGGGAGAACGCATGCGTTTTTGTGTGATAGTTGTCCAAATTGCATGAAAATTCGTGATTGCGAAGTTTAATTTTGCAGTTACATGTGTGATGGCGGTTCCATTGGTAGGCGTATAAAATTTACTCTTAAGAGGACAAAGCCAGTGACTTTAATGGCTAGTATAGTTAGCTATAACGGCTGCAACACAGATTTTGTTGACGAAAACTAGTTTAAGTTTAAGGTGCGCGTCGCAGTCAATTCGTTTTAATTACGTGCTTTTGTGTGTTTAGATCGAAAGATTACTCGTGGCTATTTCAAGTTGTTTTAATTCATCCGAAACAACTATTGTTAAAAGATGAGCATTGTTACTTGATTACTTTGGCAGTTTTGTGGATTGGAAGAGAGAGAATAAGCACACACCTCACCTCCTAAATAGGAGAAAATGAACCAGCTGGAGGAATGCAATTGTTCGTGAGAAGGCGCTTCTATTAACTGAGGCAGCGACTTCGTTACTTGCGACCTAATAAAAAGCCACTTACCACCCAAGGGGTATAACGTAAAGAGCTTGAATGTGAACAACGGCATTTGCAGCAGAAGCGCGGACACGCAAATAACGACAAACGCAATCTAACGTTGCTCTGAATTTGTGCACAGTCAAAAAGATCCACCTCCGATGGAGCGTAGGGTGGACTACCTGTTTCCTTCTCTTATCACGAGAACGCTGTAGATGAACTATTTAATGTTCCCTTCCTCTTTTACAAATTCTCCCAGAAAAGAAGCTTTTTAGTTGCGATCGAATGAAAGGGATTCAGGTGCAGAAACGGGAGACCTCTATGCTGGGCGTCCAGAGGCTGACTAGATTAACATATTTCTGATTTGCTAACTTATTAAATCTAGTCGATTGGGGAATTCCTTTTGCAAAGTTGCTTCCAAAAACGACAGTAAACGATGATGTCCAGCAGCGTCGCCAAAACGTGTATTCTTTTTTCTGCAAGTCCACAAATGACTACTGCTTTACTTTTATCAAACAACTCCGTTTATCGAAAAAATGGCACGATTAATTTCACCAAAACCAAAATTATGTCCAGGGATTCCCCGAAGGTGAATTTCGTGCACTGTGTGTGCATGAAAGAGCCCAGTTTCTTGCCGTTTTCGTCCTGTTGAATAACATGCAAAACTCATTTCAAGTGTCAATCCTGAAGTGAAAAGCAAAAGCACCAAAGTCGAAACAATTTACATTTATGGGAGGAAATGCCCATTTTCTGCATCAGATAATAATGCTGCTGAGATAGAAGGTAACCTAGTGTGTCCCATCCTTTGTTGCGTCACTACTTCCGGTAATTAGTTGGTCTCACCCTATAATTCAAGGCGGCAGTGGGTTTAATAACGCCTTCTTTTTCCCTGGGAAATAATTTCAATTTCCCTGCATTTAGCTTATCAATTAAGACCCGAATTTAAGTATCGTTTTTGTGGATACCATTAGAAGGACAGTCGATTGACTTTAATCGATCTGATTCCACACAATAATCTAATTTTGAATACTTGTAGGTTCAGTTTGAATTCCAAGACTGGTGTAGAATCTTAAATTCCAGATCCATCAACCACTACTTTCGAAATAGCGACCTTACTGAACTCATATACCTTCCCTACAACCACCTTCGATCGGGTCAGAGTTTGCGCCACGATTGGGTCCCTTACATGGACGAAGTCATTATTCGGTCGACTAAACGACTGTTCACCCTATACGACGAAGACCTGTCGTGCGCGCCAAGGCACTACTTCCACATCATTGACCCTGTTATGGGACCAGATCAGCGGCAGATTGCCTCTTTTCCGGAGGAGGGTGACTCCCTCATTGGCAAGGTATACAAGGTCCTTAAGAATGAGCTCAGCGCCGCGAACATGCAAACACAGTACACGCCTTGGGCGATGACCTGCCTCGCGCCGTTCCCATCACCCGTGAGGATGCTGCGCTTTGCAATTGAAACCTGCTGCACGATGGATCCATTCTTTGATGTAAGCACAGCATAATTGCATGGCCCCGTTCTCACCCAGTCTAACGGTAGCCTTGGCAACCACAGTGCTGGTTTAAAACAAAGGCGACTCTTTAGCCAACATAACGTCCTAAACTACGAATGAATGAGCAACCGAGTTTGTGGACTTACTTAAGTATCACACAGTTGTAAATATGATAGTCATTGAGTGGATTTAGGGTTTAGAAAGCGGTTAATCTACCCGCATTACGCTAAGCCGCATTTTGTTTTAATATGTCAGCTTGTTAATGTTTGGAACAATTTCTGCCTCGGCGAATGAAGAAATATAGGCAAATCTAGGTAGAAAGCATATTCTCAATCCGATATTAAACAAAGGGACAAAAAAGCAGTATATGCTTGGGCAATGTTTGAGCCTAGGTATGTGCGTATGACGAAATTGTGCTTTATGGAAACGACGTCTCGACAACTCTGATCAGGTACACCTTCATCTCAATGAAAAAACCGTTTTTGAGGAATATACACAGGGTGAGTATATGGTGGTTTGTTGTACATTAAGAAGAAAAGTTTAATCCCAGTTCTTAAATTGGGCAAGTTAAGTTAAATTATTGACGAATTTGCACACATACGCCCAATTCACCCAAACAGTGGGCATGTAACTTTTGGAATATTAAAAGTATTAAACCAAATGAAACTGGCTTTTGGAGTTCACATTAGCTCTAGTGACTTTAAACTCTGATTTACTCTATTACTGAAATAAATATGACAAAAACTGTCCTTATTAATTAATGTTAACCTACCCGCATGCTAACGCACTCAAGTTCTGAATCATTTTGTGTGCAAATCTATTCCTTCCTTGAAAATCTCATGTTTAAGGCAAAATTTTGCACAAAAACATTCGTAATAGCTCAAAATCACTGAAGCAATGAATCAGACTTACCTACATTTACTAATAAAACTAGGCTTTTGTAGATGACATTCACTGCATAGCTTACTGTTTTAATTCCTCATGAATTAATGCATTTTAAGGCGCCGGCACGAGTGAATCTGTGGAAAAGCAACTTTGCCACCAAAGTCAAACTCGGGCTAGACAGAGAGTCGTTTAAGTGCTAGCTAATATCCCCTCTTCCAAAGCGTGCCTTTGCTTGAAGTTACGGGGAGTCGACTTCCGGTATTTCAATTTGATTTATCTACTGGATGGTGTTCTTTCGGCGACAGGAAATAGTCGCATACTTCCGTTGGTTGTTATGCAGGACACTGTGGGTGTTTTTGTATAATGTTGGGAACGCTAATAAAATCTAGTGCATTTTAAATGTATTACCATGTTTTTTATCCACAAAGGCCTTCATTTCCATGTAACAATCTGCTGCAATTTCAGGCAAAATCAGAGATCATTGGAAGATCATTTCAAAATTGCGCAACTACACCCGTTTTAAATCATCCATCCACATCAGAGATATTTCTAGAATGTGTGTGGACGAAAAAAATGATTAAACATATGAATTTTTGGTACAAATAGACATTTGACATATATTGCATTTCAAGGTCGAAGTACTGAAGTGTAATGACAAATGTTGGCATTTTTTAAGGCTTCCAACTTTTAACTTTGCGATCGATATCAGGGAGCAGAAAAAAATAAGCGAAATCAGAAGAATGAGTTTCGAAATAACGGGTCCCAAATTTCACAAAGAAATATGTCTAAGAAACTAAGAGCCTGTGGTTTGCAGTAACTCAATTTACTCAAAATGCTGATTAATCATTGTCCAGCGGTCACAGTAGTAGACATAAGCTTTCATAATAAAGTAGTGCTTTTTATGTACTTAACACACTGTACACATTTTGATACAATCAAATACTATGCCTGATAACATAGTTAAATGAAAAATACTTAATAGTTGGTATTATTTAATTGTCTTGTTAAAAATGATCTAATTCTGGTTTTTAATTTATCAATAATGAATTATTGCTGCTTTTTTTATAAACGACGGCAGCTGGTGTTAGAAACACGCAGCCCTTTGAAATTCTTATCATCTAAAAAAGGCACAAGCATTACAGCAGAAGCCTTTGTAGTTGAGTCGCTAATCCGCAAAAGCGATTTCCGTTTTATGGCCGACGTTGTAATCCCAAGTGACTGCCAGTGAAATTTCAGAGCTCAACATTAATGGTTCTTTAGGCGGCGGTATAATCCTCCTGATGGCAAAAATGGAGCGATTTCTGGAGCTCACGATAGAACTGATTTGGTAACTTGCATTCAGGGTGGGGAGTGTTTTGCAGCGGTTTCTAGTTTACCCTATCAATGCATTCACAGCATATGCCGCCTGAATACCCAAGCAAGGGCAAATTAAACATTTATGGTGTGTACGCGAGGCATTTTTACGTCCAAAATAACTCCTATTTAGTGTAGATTTTGCCCACACGCAATCAGAAAATGCAGAAAACTGAGACTGCATAGTTCTGCAATCGAAATACTACCAACATGTTCTACGTTTTTAGCTGTTCTTAATAACTGCATTACAAAAATGTGGGAAATTGATACAATTTTTAGCACAAAATTCTTATCAAAAGTTTGCCTTAGGACATAGATCATGCAAAAGAAACTCTGTGGCATAGTGCAGCTTAGTGATAGATCGGGATTTCCATCAGTGTACACGAAAACAGGGCGTGAATTAACAAATAAGAGCAAAATAAATTCCCAGAAAGGGATCATCTTCCCATGCGGTCTTCGACCTGTGGGGTCTGCGTCATTCCGCGACAGTCAAGTAGACGAATTGATGTTTTGCAAATTTGTTTAGCACCAGGAAAGTAAAAACTCAGAATATTTTACTCACCGGAAGATAAAACGAAGACTATTAAAATACTCCTTGTAGAAAACGAGTCTAAGTGGTGTGTATTTAAAAGGTCAAATATAGTACTGATATCTGGTCGTCATATGAGAAAAGTTGTCACGAAGTTATGATTACGCAAGAATAGAATCATGAGTTTAGATTACTAACTTGAATGTTACCTGATACTGATGATAATCTTACTTAGCTAGTCATTAAGTTAAATTAAAAGCAACGCATTTTGAACTTGCAAAATTGCCTTACGCGAGATGCTTTTGACATATTTTTCCATTTGGTAAAATTAGCGAAATTGCAGCTTACAAGATTCACAAGTAAATTATTTATAGTAGGCTTCCCTGTTAACTTAAGCCCAGAACATTATTTTACCCTGGAGGCGCATACTTCAATAGTGGTGGCCGGTTTTTCTAGATTTAACCAAACCACATTGCCCCATTTTATAGTTTATGCGCACATTCCTCGAGATGTTGATGCAAATGGTGAGAAATGAGGAGAACAACGACGTGTTCTACGGCACCAACCTCTGCATCCGCGTAAACTTTACCGGCGGCAACAGGACGGCCAAACTGCTTGGGGTGGGGTCCCTGAACCCCACGGAAGATGTGGGTCGTCGCCTTATCGCCCACATCACATTCGCCAGCCTGGTTAGGCCCGGCATCTCGAAGGAGTGGCGCGACTTCTCCGAAAGAATCACCAACTTCACCTTCGGATGCATTCCCCGCAGCTCACTTCACTGGAAAACCGAGTGGCACACACTGCGGGTAAGTCATTTGTCAATTTTCTTTAGCCTTTTGTTCCGTTTCAGTAGAACCTATTGCTTTTGCATCGTCAGACGACGTGGTCTTGAAAGATAAGGTGCAATAAAATCACCGTTGTCCTAATGTCAACAAAGTGAAGAAATTAGTAAGGCGTTTAAATCAGCATCTAGTTGGTTCAGCGAGAATTAAATCTGCAAATCATCAGGAATTTCGCTTTAAATATATGTTGGAATATGTAATGCATAACATTCTGGCAAAGAAACGAATTGCCTTTAGCTTTATTAATGCGGAAAAAAATTATTTACTTGTGGCTTAACCCTACTCAAAGGAACTAAAACTCATGAGCATAAATCATTTTGTGTTACTGTCCCATAACCGACTCCAACTCCCTTGACAAGCGTGAGTTATTATTTACATAAATTGCTGCTGGCGAAATAAATTTCAATTTTTTTGCCAAACTCGTGGGTGCCATTTGGCCGAAGCACGTATCTATCTTGTGCAAGTGCCTGGGGGAATAAAAACGTCCTATCACAGTATATTTGTGATGTAATTTTAATGGCTGGAGTGCGTTTCATGAAATAAATGATTTTGTGATTAGATGGAAACGTGAAGAGACTGGCTCTAATGGAAACAGCAGAACGAAATGTTACATTGGTCATTGGTTTGAGAGGAAAGGATAAAAGCTCGTGTCTATGATTGCCAGCTAAAATACATTGTAGTAAAACCACCGAATGCCTAATAGTGCAGTTGTTATTATAAGTATTTTAGTACTGCTCAGAAGCGCCTGACCAGAACTGGAATTCGTTAACCTGGCATAAAAGTCCAAGATCAGTACGTCAACGACCTTATTTATGTGTCAAGTAATCTCCAGTTGGATAAGTAGTCACAAATTTTAAGAGGTCACAGCAGGTCGAAGAATAACAATGCATCAAATCAGATTGAAGGCACACAAATGAACGAGCAGCATCGTAAAAGGCCTTGTTTCTACTTGAGATAATAGTGCAAAGTGATTCTTCATGGGGTTTATTTCGTGGAATGCTTATTAGCTGCGCCAATCAGACTGCATTATTGCAGTTCTTTGTTGTTAAGTAGTGTGTTTCTTTGTGTATACTGATGGATTCACATTTCAGTGTTTTTGTGCATTACACGTGACTTGGTTCCTCTCTTATTTCTAAAAAAACCGCTCCGAGTAAAGCCACTGTAACTAGAAATCGCGGTGGAACATAGTGCGAACTATTACATAAGACAAGGTCATTCTAGCGGTACTGCCAATAACTTTAGTTAGCATGCCCAATTCTGTTGGATTGTAATTCCAGGACCTGTTTGCTAAGTTAAATGCTTATATGGAAGTAACCAGGCTTTCGACTCTCGTTGTGATTGTGTACAACAGCGACATCTTGGCTTTGTTTGTGCAATTCAATTCGCGACAGCTTTTTTTACCTTCTTCAATCTAATGCCGATGATTACAAGAAAAACGCAAAGCTTCGTTTGGCAATGCATCGCGCTTTTCTTCCACTCTTTTGCAAATTCGCTGTTGGCCGAGATTGTTTGGTCAAATAAACTCAAGTAATCTAACTAACGGCGTCAAGATGACAGTGGATTAATTTACAAAGTTTTCTATAAACTGGAAATGATTTAATTTTACATTCAATCATGGTGAAATAAAGCCGATTACCCTGGGTTCCTGTTTGGCCAATTATTTTTGCTGTTTTAACTGCTCTGAACGCAGCTCAACGCGGTTCATTTACGAACCTTGATTTCCTGAAATAACTCAAAAGCGTTTGAACAAAGTCTTCAAGTTAAAATCTTCCTGGTCAGCAGATCTGTTTTTCAAAAACCACCTACTAAGAAAGAGGGCATAATGCATACAATCTCGTTCTTATCGACGTTGTAATTTCAAATAATTTGCCACTGCCTCGGCTTTACAGTGTCATTAATTAAACAAGCACCCTGAGCCCTATTTAATCCTTCGAAAGCCAATCATGCGGTTGTTTAATTGAATATATACAGGATTGCCGAGATGTGACCAAACTTAGCGAGCTATGTGAAACAGACCAGAACTAAAAAATGTAGGACTGCGAAATTTTTATACCAATATTGGGAATTCTAGCCATCTTAGCTGCATAAAACTTTGTTTATTTATGCTACATCGGTGCTAGGACAGATTTTCCTGTTTTAATTATAAATTACACGTTATTGGTAGAGCATTTGTTGTGTGGTGAGGTTAGCCATAGTCAAAATTTGATGAACCTTGCCAAAACCTATCGCAGTGCTGGCAACAGGAGTCCGAAATGGCTTTGTTCCCACCATGACGAGAGTTCAGCATAGTATTCCGTCAATACTAGTCTGGCAGGATCATGCCAATTTTGCAAAGCAGATTCGCCGAAAGCTCGAAGTCACGTGGACATGCCATTTTACGTCGAGACACGGAACAGCTTTTTTGTATGTTAAACAGCTCTTGTGGTCGTCACCGTATTTTTCTGATTGTCAGTTTTGGCCAAATTAGACACACACATTTTTTATAGCATCGTTCACTAAAACTTCAATTGGGAAAACAGTAAAATAATATTTTCGAAAATTAGATTCGTGAGCGGTGGATGATAGGGATACAGCTCTTAAGGTTAAATGAAATTTTCCGGATGCTGAAACTATAAAATCTCTGAACTAATAACACTTAAATAATATCAAAATGGTTTGGATGGTCCATTAAAAGAATGTCATGATAGTTTTGTCCAAAGCTTATTTAACTGATTGCCAATGTGTCATTTTATGCATTTACGTTGAGCGATTATTTAGTCAATTCGTTTTAAAACAAAATTAGCCGTGACTTTCAAACATCTAAAGAGATTTGTATCCTGGCTTTTCATGCGCTATTAACTTTTCCGAGTTTACGCTTGATTTATCAAAAATCAAAATAATAAACTGTGTAATTTAAAGAACCACAATTCAAGAAAACACAAAAGAAATTGTTGGTACGAAAAGATATTGCAGTGCGTGCTACATTTTTATGACTACTTCTTCTGTCTTACATGTTAAACATATTTAAGGCTATTAGTTCCATGTTATTCGTCGTGGAAATAATGTAATGCTCAGGACTCTGTGAATGATATTGCTTCGACATTCAGGCATAAGTACAGCTTTGGTGTCGCAACGATAAACGGCAGAGTAGTCACACACCAAAGATATCAAAACGTACCTTGAGAAGGTGTACATTAGTGACTGATGTAATACTACATTCAACAGCCAGTAGCCTTTTGCAAATTAAAGATAAACAAATGTAGGGTGTTATAAACGGTTCAGCCCACTGGTTTGTCAACAGTTCAAATTGGTAATAGTTATTTCGCAGTCTTTCTTTAATATTTGCTAGGCAATGTTTCATGAAAGAGTTTTAAATAGCTAGTTGCATTAGCATTTTTCTTCATGCCCATACTTTTAGACACTAGCGGGTTGTAAAGGGTTCAAACCTTCCTACAATGCAGAATGTTTCAATGTGTATTCTGGAATTTTGAACAAAAGCTGCAGATTACCATAGTAACGCGTTCTGCACCTCACCTGTATGCATCATTGGTTGAAGTAGTTGATTGTACAGCTTTTAAATTGTGCTGCCCAAATCAGAATGCCAATTGCGACAATTTCCCTAGGCATTTAAAAACAAACTGCTAGCCCCGTTAAAGGAGATGAATTGTTTTGTAAACACCGTAGGAATTAAAACCATTTAAATCATTTTTGGTAAATATTATTTATTCCTTTTTGGGTGTGCTTAAACACTTTTACTAAAAAAATTTAATGCCTTGAATCTTCAGGAATCTTATTTAAAAGACCTTTTCTTATATTCTATGAAATTCTGAAGTTTGAGCTGTACACGAAAAGCCAGGTTTCTTCGCTTAATGCAGGGATTATGAATATCTGTTAGTGGCAACCTCTTGTTCAGGGATTTTTTCAGCGGACGTCCGAGCAAGCATAGTTTATAATGCAAAAAGCTGAGTTAGATGGCGGCAGCAGAAGATAGTTTCGACACGCAAACTTAAATTTTAATGAAATTGTCGGCATTAAGGGTAGGTTGATAGTCTTTTAATGCGTAGATTTATTACCTAAAATTTAGGAGCAAGAATTAATTTACACACAGGACAAATGAACCAGCATGTGGTTGATCATACTACTGAAATTTGTATTTCACGTTGCACAAAATCAGAAGGTAATTTGTTGTTGTGGTTGTTGTTGCTCTTTAAATAATCAAATCAGGTAAATTAAGTAAGTATAGCGTTCAAAACAAGGTGGGCTCTTGTGGGGATTTACAGCGACCTAACAGAATGCCAAGCTTGGTGAGTGGGACAAAGCCACTTCATATTGTCGTGTATTGCTACATGGGCATCTTTTGCTTGTTTATAGCAATCAGAATTCTTTTTGCAAGACAATTAATTAAAATGGAAAAACGACATCATCAAACAACATACTAATCTTTAAGGCACAAGCATTATTAAATTAAATAATGGCATCCATTATAAGTAATCAAGGTAAGTAATGCATTCCAATCTCTTTTTGCATGCAATCGAGGCCATTTTGCTAGAAGCACTGACTTCATTGATAGCAAACTCGTGTCGCAGGCAATACAGACCTATTTTCCATGCATTTCACAACAATTCAAAAAATTTAACTCTTCATGTTTGAATTTCTGACATGCCAAACAATGTACTTATTGTTTGTCTATGGAATTCCTTGGTTTCTACAGCAAAAGCCAACCGAGTCACTAACTTAAGTTGACTTACTGCCTGTATTTCATGAATATTTTTAAAGAACACTTGACGAAAGACTAATGCACTTTATCAAGCCATTTTCACGTTTCATGGTGCAGTTTTGACCGATGTGAGGTAAAGATGTTTTTGTCATTGGTACAGATATGTTTTTCATTTTACCAGGTTGAGGTAAATGCTTGATTAACATTTAATACAGCAACATAAAATTGAAGATTTTAGACAAAAACTGTAGCCAGATAACTGATACAGAAGACGTGAATAGGTTGCATGGTTTTCGCAGACATTCAATGTCAGTT